GGAGCTGTCAGCTGCGGTGCACGGTGCCTGGTTCCTTGATGGTGCCAAGCTGGATGAAGGGGAGGCGGGTGGCCGGTGCAGCATGCAGCGTCGTGGGACGGAGCACTCACTGCTGATCCGGGGAGTGCGACTGGCTGACAGCAGGACCCAGGTCACCTTCGTGTCTGGTGGAGTGCGGGACTCAGCCACGCTGCACGTGGAAGGTGAGCAGGGCTCTCGCCCTGGGGTCCTGCCAGGAGAAGGGCATCAGGGGCTCTCATCCTGGAAGATGCTTCTCACCTCTCCGCGATGTCTCTCAGCCCCACAGGTCCACATCTCCCCAGTGCCTGAGGCTGAGCGGTTCTGTGAGGTGCTGGCAGGGCTGCCCGTGCTGCTGGAGTGCCAGGTGACTCCCCCAGATGCCCCCGTGCGCTGGCTGAAGGATGGTGAGGCCGTGCCCCTGGACGACGTTATTGCAGTGCAGGAGGAGGGCTGTGTGCGGAGGCTGCTCCTCCGCTCAGCGGGTCCCTCAGACACCGGCACATACACCTGTGACGCGGGGAATGATGCTGTGAGCTTTGTGGTGACAGTGACCGGTGAGCTGAGGACCATGTGCAGGAGCCCCGACCCCACCTCCTGACAGCAGTGCCCCTGCCCCTCTTCCTGCCCCCACAATGGGGCTAAACCAGCTGTCCGCTGGGTGCCCGCGCTGACCCCACGTTATCCCGGGCAGAGGCACCAGTGAGGATCATCAGCTCCAACGAGGAGGTCCCCCATGCCTACGCAGCGGGGCAGCGTGTGGAGCTGTGGTGCCAGCTGTCCCGCACGGCCGCCCAGGTGCGCTGGTATAAGGACGGGGAGGAGGTGGAGGCCAGCGAGAACCTGGTGCTGGAGCAGGAGGGGCCACGGTGCCGGCTGGTGCTGCCCTGCGCCCAGCTACAGGACGCAGGGGAATTTGTCTGTGATGCCGGTGGGGACTCTGTCTTCTACACTGTCACCGTGGCAGGTAGGTGCAATTCAGGAGGGCTGGCGGGGTCACACTGTGGCAGGCAGTGCGGGGTGCCACAGCATGCATTGCTGACAGCATTGCTGTCATTTTCTGCTCTGGGGATGCTCTTCAGAGATGCTCTTGCTGGGTCCTCACCAGCAGGTTGGGCGGTCAGTCAGGGTCTTTGCGGCAGCTCTGCTGTATAAAGCCACCCAGACTGACTGGCAAAGGGGACAGCTCGCTCTGCCAGTCCGAAACACTCAAGTACCCAGGGGCACCCAGCACCTCCATGCCAGGATGTTTACCAGACCTCTGCCACAGCTGGTAACCAAGCCCTCCTCCAAGGTCCTAAAAATAGTGGGCTTAGCACCTGGCGTGGGTTGACTCATGGTTGGACATCGCTCTGATGGAGAGCGTTAATTGCTGACCTGAATATTAGTGGTTGCCTGGTTACCAGCAATTGGGTGGCGTTTGCTGGGTGGGAGCTGGGGACAATGTCCTGCAGCGGCTGCCCCGGCTGTGGAGCGGCTGCTGGCATTGCCATCTGACAGAGGATAATGAAACCTGAAAGCAAGTGAAAGACTTCCCAGCACTGGCCCCGAAACCCGCAATCCCATAACCACAGGAAGGCAGCCAGGGGCACAGCTAAAGCCTGGTTAAAGGTCTCTGTGACCGCAGCAGTAAAGCCTTTCTGTGGTGTTAATATGTGGCAAATGGCTGAAGCCGATGGCAGAGGATTAGGAGTGAAGGTGGGATGAGTGACAAGAGATGCTGGTAGAGTCAGTGCAGCAGTGACTGCTGGGAGGGAGAAGAAAGGAGGGTTTTGGTGTGATAAAGGCAAAATTGCCAGTGGGAAGGACAGGCAGCGTGTGCTCTGGGCAGAGGCAGAAGGCATTGTCCATGCAGGGAGGTGCAGGGAGGCATGGCGAGCTCGGCTTCCTAGGGTGGGAGGGAGAGGGAAACACCATCTGCTGAAGCTCAGCCTTTCGGCTGAGCAGCTTTGCATAACTTAGATGGAAGGCTCTTAGAGCGGCTGGCTGGGCTCAAGTAGGATTTGGCCATCGGTGTCACCGGTGGGGCTCGGAGCGGGTGCCAGGAGGCTCAGGCTGGCACGTCTCTGGCACAAGTGCCGGTCTGGCTGCGCTGCCGCGGCACGCTTGGGTTTCCCCGAGGCATCCCAGCTATCCCCATCCCAGCTATCCCCATCCCAGCTATCCCCTGGGACTGCTGCGGTGTGGAGCCTGCCTGACTCAAGCCTGGCCACCCCCGCACGCCTTTGGGTTTTCCGGCAGCTGTCAAGAGCTGCGGCTCCCTCGGAGCCTGGGGCCGG